CAACATCTCTGCGCAGTTTCAGTGGGTCAAGTCGGACAGTAAGTTGTGACGGGGAGAAAGCATTGGACAACCTGCTCTGGTGGAATGCTCCGTACAGTATGCCAGCGCCGAGGAATGACCACCGGCCGAACTGTAATTGAATATTTACACACATACACAACTTTTTTTTTTACAACGCAGGGGGCAAACGAGCATGCGGCTCACCTGATGGTAAGTGACTACCGCCGCCCATGATCACCCACAACACCAACGGCATTGCAGGTGTGCTGCCGGCCTTTTAAAAGGGAATATACTCTTTTCTTGAAGGTTACGTTGTCGTATCGGTTCGGAAATACTGCTGCTGGAAGTTGATTCCAAAGAATGGTTGTATGGTAACTATGGCAACTTACTATTTTGTATTGTGTCCCTGGTGACCTGTAATACAGGTATAATACCTATCTCGGGTAGCAGTCTCTCACAATTATATTTACAATTTGATTATTTTAATATAAACATGTCTCATTGTATTTCACTGTGATGAATTGGGAAGAGAAAATAAATCTATTATTAACCGTCGTAATTAATTCGTAATTAATAATTATTATTAATATTGTTACTGCGAACTACCAGTCTCATTGCTAACAATATGCTTTATCAGGTCGAGCTCTCCGTGGTCCCCCTCACCCTCGACACCATCCTGCTGAATTCCAGGTGTATTCATTCAACAAAATATTGTATTGGGTTGACTGGAAGAGATCACTTTTAAAGATATGAAATGAAATGTTTATTTGTTTATTTATTTATTTAATACTTTATTGTACACATTAGTTATAAAAATATGACAGAGGTAAACAAAAGTACAAAGGCGAGCTTAACTCTGATAGAGTTTTCTTCCAGCAAACCCAAAGTGGAAAGGAGCGTCAATGTCAGCGGATACAGCAGTGTACAATTTTTAAACAGCCAAAATTAAATTAATTAGATTATATTATATAGTACAAATACACACATACATATACATAAATATATACCTACATCTATGCATAAAACTACATATACATACACATATACATACAATATACCTACACATATAGATAAATAAATATGTGTTCATAGAGATAGAAGATGCTCTTTAAGTCTACTCTTAAAAATATTTAGGGATTGACTCTCACGGATAGATATGGGAAGAGAATTCCACAATCTAGCAGCATGGACGGTAAAAGATCCACTATAGCGCGTAGATGAGTGTGAAGGGAGTTTGAGGATAAGAAGAAAATGTTATTTATTTGCTGTGAATGTGATACATAATGGGTTGGAATCCATGACAACAAGTATCTTGCATATGCTGCCAGTTTGGCATGCAACATTTTTATACATAATCCATAATATTTGTCTATTTTTTTTTTATACAACTTAGAATGGCAAACAAGCTGACGGCCCACCTGATGGAAAGTGGTAACCATCGCCTATAGACATGAGCAGTACCGTGGACATGACAGAGTATACTGTTCTGTCCATGTTACCCCCCATGCGTTGTCATTCCTGAGGACTCAGGTGTCATTCCTCTGCACCCAGTAAATTCACAGCCATATCCCACGATTTGGCTGTGAAGTTACAGGGTACAGAGGAATAACACCTGAGCCCTCAGGACGTGGTACTGCTCATGTCTATAGGCGACGGTTAACACTTTAAGAACAGATATAGGAACGGTTAAGAACCAGATGTATTATCGAATCCAGGTCTTTGCTATTTACTATTTTTTTTTTAACAGAAACTAACAGCTGTTACCAGGAAAATCTATAAAAAACGCGCGAGCTACAGTAATTTTTTATTAAGTTCATAAAAATGCGGTTAAAGAAACAAATTAGAATAATGTATTGTTTATGATATGAAGCTTTGATTATACATTGTCTATGGTACCGCTCGATCTAGGGTTGCCAAAATAATTAAATATCAGTTTCTTGGTCGCTTTTTCTTACGCGTAGATTTTAGATGTAGGACTACCAGAGGGAGACTTTGTACAAAATTCGTTTGCTTGGCCACCCCTGTTCCATTCGTGTTTCAACCGTGAAGCATTTGTGTTTGCATGGCTGTGTTTCGGTTTGAAGGGTGGGATATGGCAGTGAAATTAGAGGATACAAAGGCATAAAATCTTAGTTCTCGAGAATGGCAACGCATGGGGGGTATCATGGGTGAAACAGTGTACTCTGTTATGTCCATGGTACCGCTCATGTCTATAGGCGACAGTTACCACTTTTTATCAGGTGGGCCGTCAGCTTGTTTACCATTCTAAGTTGCATAAAAAAAAACATCATCTTCCTACTTTTATCTCAACCAGTAAGGACTGGTCTGCTCAAGTATACTGTGATTAATTGTAGCTTTGTAATGTTTTATTTTCTTTCTTTTTATTAAATATTTAGTTTGTGGTAGTCATTTTATCCATTCGCATTTTTGTTGCAAACTTAACTTTTATTTTAAAAAAGGAAACAGCTGAGTTCCTTGCCCGTTCAGCTGAAATTACGTTTTGAATTGGACGATATATTCATAAAAAAATTACTAATTATAAAAAAATCTCATTTTTATTACAGGTAATAAACATAAAAACATACATACAAATTGAGAATTCTCTTCTTATTGAAGTAGATTAAAAATTCACCATTTTTGGATAGTTTTTATACATTTTTCCATCCTTAAATTTGTATTCTATAATTACAATTCTATTTTTACAATAATTTCAATAAATAAAATACAATTGGTAACATATATTTTTCTGCTGTGACTGTGGCAGCCCTACTTATTTGCACCAATGGCCATAGACAAAGATTTTCGAGTACATTTTTTTTAAACGTCATTTCGCGCTTTATTATAAAGTGTCACAATAAAATATGTATTCGAAATAGATTTCAATGTCGTTGTAACATTATGTTTTTGGTTGTGACGACAGTGTTTGCGTGAATTGGGAAAAATCTAGAATAATTTTAGTACACAACAATATGTGGGCACGTTATAGTGCTGTCATAAATTTGCTGAATATTAAAAATAAATGTCAACTTTCATATTGTAATAGTGATATTTAGAGACAAACAAAATGGCTGCCACCTGACTGCCCACCTGATTTGTTAGTCTTCAACCGATTACAAACAGAAGGAGGTTATCAATTCGGTGGTATTTTTTTTTTAATGTTTGTTACCTCTTAACTATTTTTGATTGGTTTATTGGTAATGCGGACTACGAGTCTCATTGCTAGCAATATACCGATATAATATTGATCTTCACGTAGTCCCTCCAGGAAACCATCTTGCTGAATTACAGGTGTATTCATCACGATTGAGTAACTGGGGTTTTTTTTAATAGATGATAATGAAATGGTAGCCCCACCTATGCTAACGGTATACGCTGACGGAGCACCAGTGAAGGATGATAAGTGAGAATGAAAAAACAGGTCAGTTAGCCCTTCGTGATGAATATACAAGTACCTGGAATTCAGCACGATGGTTTCCAAGGGGGACCACATGGAGGTCGACCTGACAGGATATATTGCTAGCAATGAGACTGCTAATCCACATTACTAACAATCCCTTCCCCCACCCATACTAACATATTAACCCCATAGAAATTTTATCAAAATCTTAATTTTTAGACCAAAATATTGTGCGTGTTCTACCGCTTGTATAAAGAAATATGCTCAGAGGAATTGTTCAATATGATGCCCACGGCCACATTCTACCATCATACAGCTCGCCATCGACAGGGAGTTCGCTCTCATACCTTAAAGCCTAGATGGTCGCAGTACAGCGCGGTTTCAGAGGTGTTTTCTCCCACAAACGCTCAGGTTAAAGAATTCAGGTTTTTCCAAGTTACTACAGCATGAACTTCTTCCAAAAAGGGGTAAACAGGTTTCATCAGGGTCAACAACGCGCGCGTGATGCCTTAGTATCGTAGGCGTTTATAGGCTACGGTAGCCGCGTATCATCAGGTAAGCCGTATGCTTGAAATAATTAGTTTTGTTAATTATGACAGAAATAATTATTCCATTAAAAACTTTGATTTATAAACCAAAATTCTCAATCGATATATAATTTGTATAGCACTAATCTGTAAGTATGTCTTTTCAGATAAGAAAAAAAAATCAATTTTTCAAATCTGTTATTGGAAGATTGTTTTTTTTTTAATTTTTTTTATTATGTTAGTTCCATTGTGGAACAGGCTAAGGTTGGAGACCATGCTGCCTAGTCTTCAATATGATAAATTATCTGGAATTTTTTTTTTCAGATAAAAAAAAATACAATGTTCCAAAAAATTGTTCCAAAAAAAAAATATAATCGAACTATAAAAAAATATATCCTAAGAACCTATTTCTTCTTGAAGTAGGTTGGAATTTGTAACCAGGTAATGAATGTATGTTACATGGGACATATTTAAGAAAAATTTATATAAAGATTTTAATAAGAAAATAGAAGGTGAAACAGTAATTTAAAAAAAATCTGTCTGTCTACATGATGTTGGCGTTACGCAAAAACTACTGCAGTAAATTGTATTCAGTTTTTAAATTTATATTTCCAAAGGTTCAACTTAAAGACTGACGTATATTTCATCTCGATACGCCATCTAGTTGTGGTATATATCATTGGTTCTCCCTGTGAAATCCAATCGAACGAAGTAGCGAGCAAATAGCTAGTAATATTTTTTTTTTCTAAATCTGGCAATCTAAATCTAAATCTAAATCTTGCTGCATGCCTCCTTAGTTATTTTCAAGATTTTATTTTTATTGTATTTTTATACTTTTGTTTTTACAATTGTCACTGTCTTTTTTCCTTAGTCTGTCTTTCATGGTTTTCTATATTATAGTTATTTTCCTTTAAACCTATTGTTTAATTACATCAAATACATCAACATACAGTCTATAATATCGCCCACAGGCAATTGAGGAGATGTTTTGATTTCTTAAAAAAAAAAGGGACTTATAACCATAGATTAAGAATAGTAACTACTGAAATTCTCTTTCTAAGTTCATAATAGATTACCTTTTGTGATTTCTGATTGTTGATTTTCTGTACAGGTTGTAGAGGGTCTTCAGAAACCGGTAGATTCTCAGTGGATTCGCTTTCTGCTGATTTGCAACTACCCGTAACACACAATGTAATCAGCAAGAACAGCACAAAAAGTCTTAACGAAACCATTTCGGACGCCATTTAAAAAGTTTTCTAATTAAAAATATATTAAAAAAATTTATTACGAAATTATTTTATATAGTTTCGACTATAATAAAATTCTAAAAAATAATTTCATTTTATTTTTAAAACTTATTAATTAAATGGAATATTTTTTTTAAATTTAAAACAAATTCACGTAAGTTTTTTTTTTTATTTATTTATCTATGCATGCATTCGAAAGTCTGTACATTGAAAAGCGCGGGAAACTTCGAGCTGTCAAACCGTAATGGCGGACTCCAGGCGACTGGAGAATATCAGACTGCAAGACGCACGTTATTTTTAGCGGATTGACGGGGCGTCGAGTATTAACGAGTCCGAATGCGTCAATAAACGCTATCTTGAGACATACATTGCTTATTTACTCGCGTGAGACTCACAGAACAACGGTTTTTATCGCTCTAGGCAGCAGGTGGCCCATACTGCCATAAATCATTTCTGTTTAATAATTCAAAAGCTTTTAAAGATTATTTTTAAAGATTTATCACGATTAGTAATGAGTCTAATTGAGAAAACCGTTATAGTTTTTTTTTTTATTAATATGCAGGCGGGGTTACCATTCCATAATCACCCATTAAAAAATATCACTTTTTCTTTTATACAACTAAGAATGGCAAACAAGCTGACGGCCCACCTGATGGAAAGTAGTAACCGTCGCCTATAGACATGAGCAGTACCATGGACATAACAGAGTATACTGTTTCGCCCATGATAGCCCCCATGCGTTGCCATTTCTGAGGACTCAGGTGTTATTCCTCCGTACCCAGTAAATTCACGCCATATCCCACCCTTCAAACCGAAACACAGCCATGCAAACACAACTGCTTTACAGTTGAAACACGAATGGGACAAAGGTACCCAAGCAATCGACTTTTGTACAAAGTCTCCCTCTGGTAAACGTATTACTAATACTTGCGATTATCTCGAATTAATGGAAATGATATATTTAAATGAAACTGAACTTGTAATTTTATAAATTATGAATGAATTATCAATATTATAAAGACCACCAAGAGACTTTGTACAAAAGTCGACTGCTTGGGTACCTCTGTCCCATTCGGGTTTTAACCGTAAAGCAGTCGTGTTTGCATGGCTGTGTTTCGGTTTGAAGGGTGGGATATGGCGTGAATTTACAGAGTACAGAGGAATAACACCTGCGTCCTGGTGGGTATCATGGGCGAAACAGTATACTCTGTTATGTCCATGGTACTGCTCATGTCTATAGGCGATTGTTTGCTATTCTAAGTTGTATAAAAAACAATATTTTTTGGGGTCGACGTAAGTAATATGTTTTTATCCATATTACAAAAAGATTTGGCCTATAGTTTTACGACCGGCCGACTGCGGGGGGGAAAGGGATTGTTAGTAATCGGGTCTTACTGCCCCATTGCTAACAATACACCTTATCAGGTCGACCTCATTGTGGTTCCCCCTGTAAACCATCGTGGTTAATTCTAGTGCAATTAGTCACAATGGGCTTACTGACCTGCTTTCATCGTTACCTATGATCCCTCACTGGTGCCCCACCGGTGTATACCGTTAGCGCAGGCGAGGTAACCATCTCATTACCACACATTAAAAAAAACCGGCCGACTGCCTGACGTCAACCCTCTTTGGGTAGGTGGAAAGGGATTGTTAGTAATGGAGACTGAGAATCCCATTGCTAGCAATATACCCAACCAGGTGGACCTCCTCGCGGTTCCCCCTGGAAACTATCATGGTTAATTCCCGATGAATTCATCATGATGTGCTAACTGGCCTGTTTTCATTTTCATCTATCACCCTTCACTGGTGCTCCGCCAGCGTATCCCGTTAGCGCAGGCGGGGTTACCATACCATTTTCACCCATAAAAAAAACCCTCTTTGGGCGGCAAATAATACTTTTGGCGGGAGCGACGACAGTAACACCCACTTCGAACATTATACAATTATCAAATGTCCATTTGTTAAATCCACACCCACGTTACATCATGTAGACTAGGCTCTCACTCCTGAGCCAAATATCATGCGTTTTAATGCAAGTGGCGATGCACCAATTTCGTGTTTATTGCTTTTACTGCAAGGTGGGTGAATCGTAAATTGTTAGGTTGCGTTTCGCCTCATTTTGCTACAAAAATAGATTTCATTTAATGATAAGATGTTAGTGTAACATATTCCAATAATGCAATTCTACGATTGCTCTCAATAAGACAGGCAAATAAAGATATGTGTGTGTGTGTGCGTGTGCGTGTGTGTGTGTGTGTGTGTGTGTGTGTGTGTGTGTGTGTGTGTGTGTGTGTGTGTGGGTGTGTGTGTGTGTGTGTGTGTGTGTGTGTGTGTGTGTGTGTGTGTGTGTGTGTGTGTGTGTGTGTGTGTGTGTGTGTGTGTGTGTGTGTGTGTGTGTGTGTGTGTGTGTGTGTGCGTGTGTGTGTGCGTGTGCGTGTGCGTGTGCGTGTAAGTGTGCGTACACTATTTTGCCGAGCCTTCCTAAATGTGGGTTATTGTGGATGAATTTGTAACTAAGATTTAGTTCAATTGATCGCCTACCTATAAAAAAGAAATTGGATTTCCCCTTACAACAAAAGTGTCTAGTACACTTTTCAAAAACCCCTGCCGGACGGCCCCCGGACGCTCTTCAAACTAGAACAAATCCTGGGAATTCCGGATGGATGGTAGCCCTAGACTTAACAGAAGTTTTGAAGCTAGTGAGAGTTTGAAAGCGCCGAATATTTATTTATTTAACTCTTTATTGCACCATAAATAAAAATATACAATGACAAGTGAATAATTCAAATGAAATACAGTAACATAAATACAGATTGAAATATACACATAAAGGTACAAAAGGCGGTGTTATCGCTAGGGCGATCTCTTACAGACAACCTTTGGTTAAAGGAGAACAGATAGAAGTGGGCAGGTGGCGCAAGAGTGAATTAATAATTTTTCGTGCATAAAATACAAAAACATGTAATGCACAAAAATTTAAAATACATACATACATACATACATATCTGTCACGCCTGTCTCCCATTAGGGTAGGCAGAAACAATGGAACGCCAAATGCTTCGATTCAAACAAACCTCTTTCGCTTCTTCCACATTCATCAATCTTGTCATACACGCTCGTCGGTTACGGGTACTTTTAATGTGGCCCTTCTTCAGCACATATAATTTATTAAACTACTAATAGAGATACGAATAGATTATTTATATTAGATTGAACTAAAGATCTACAGATCTAGGTGATATATATTAGGAGAGATTTTGCCTCACTTTGCGTGTTCTACCGCTTGTACAACGGACTGTGCTCAGAGGAATCGTTCAATATGATGCCCACGGCCGCTTTCTATCATCGTACGGCTCGCCATCGACAGGGAGTTCACCCTCATACCCTACAGCCTAAATGGTCGCGTACAACGCGGTTTCAGAGATGTTTTATCCCACGAACACTCAGGTTGTGGAATGAGCTCCCTGCCGAGGTTTTCCCAAGAGACTACAGCGTTCTACAAAAGGGGTGTAGAGAAGTTTCTTCAGGGTCGGCAACGCGCGCGTAATACCTCTGGTATTGCAGGCGTTCATAGGCTACGGTAACCGCTTACCATCAGGTGGGCCGTATGCTTGTTTGCCACCTCAGTGGTATAAAAAAATTTATTGTATATAGTATTATTATACGGTATATTAGTATATTAAGTTACATATAATTCCAAGTGATTATGTTTGTAGTTAATATAAAAATAATGGAAAGCATTTTGGTTAATTCTTGTGGAATTCCTCACGACGGACTAACTGACCTATTTTCATCCTCACCTATCATGTCTCCCTGGTACCCCGCCAGCGTATACCGATATCACGAGCGAAGTTACCATTCCATTTCACGCATTAAAATAAAATATATATATAAGAATAATTTTGGCACTAGAGTTATCTACCCCAAAAAGGACCAAGCGTAATGATTACATACACATTATTTTTAATTCACTATTAAAATACCTACAAACCATTAAAATTTCAATAAAAAGATAATTCGGTTGTTTTACGTCAAGCAAAACAAAGCATTCGATTCACTGTAGCCTTGCCTTTGCGTTGGCGCGTAAAAAATAAACTTTCGCTACATTGGCAACGTTCAATTTGACATGACAGCTTGTTTTGGCGGGCGATTGGCGGTTCAAACGTGTTGATAGCATTAAATTATTATTTAGTGTTGCTACGACGGTGAATTAAACGGATTACCGATTGTTATCAAATTCTCAAGGTCAGTTTAAATTGAAACATTAGGCGTTCCATTATTTCCTTCTACTCCGATGGAAGACAGGAGTGATGGATATGTTATTATGTGTGTATCTCAAGTTTTTTTTGTAATGGATGATAATGGTATGGTAACCACGTCTGCGCTAACAGCATAAGCTGATAATACCAGAGGGAGACTTTGTACAAAAGTCGATTGCTTGGGTACCTCTGTCCCATTCGTGTTTCAACCGTGAAGCAATTGTGTTTGCATGGCTGTGTTTCGGTTTGAAGGATGGGATATGGCATGAATTTACTGGGTACGGAGGAATAACACCTGAGTCCTCAGGAACGGCAACGCATGGGGGGTATCATGGGCGAAACAGTATACTCTGTTATGTCCACGGTACTGCTCATGTCTATAGGCGACAGTTACCACTTTCCATCAGGTGAGCCGTCAGCTTGTTTGCCATTCTAAGTTGTATAAAAAAAAGCTGGCGAGATACCAGGGAGATATGATAAGTGAGAATGATAATATAGGTTAGTTAGTCCATCGTGATGAACACATTTAGAATTCAGCACGATCCTTTCTAGGAGAGACTACGTGGTGGAGATCAACCTGGCATTGCTAGCAATGAAACTTTTTTTTAATGGATGATAATGAAGTGGTAACCCCGCCTGCGCTATCGGTATACGCTGGCGAGGTACCAGGGACACATGATAGGTGAGGATGAAAAGACAGGTCAGTTAGCCCATCGTGACGAATTCAACGATAAATTAGTCAAGATTCGTATAAATAAATTATTTCCCGGGGGGAACCGCGTGGAGGTCGATCTGATAGATTGATAGCCATGGGAACTAACCTTCCTATTACTAACTATCCCTTCCCCCATATTTACATATTGGTCCCATAAAAAAATTATATAAAATGGGTCAATAGTTTAGTTTTGAGATTAAAATAAATTGATTTTATGACAATTGAAATAGTTTTTTTTTTTTTTTTATAGGACAGAAATCTTTAGTTATTACTAACATTATTTTGGCAACGGCCACAATAATATAGGTTAAATTATGAAAGACATTCATGCAAATGCGTCAATGCACTTTAATATAACCACAGATAATGTATAACCTATATAAGTAACCAACT